ATGTGTGACCAAACAACATCAGAGTATAGTCAAGATAGCAAAATGTATTAATGAGGAAGGACACACAAACTAAGGCTGCAACAGAGGGACAGGAGAAGGCTGTAGGCTTAGGAGCTTATCACATTACAAAATAAATTGTCTTACCCCTGCTGTTTTGAATTCTATTATGGGATGCAACTGGGTACTATCAACTTTGCAAATCGGCCAGCTGAATGTGGGTTTTAGCCAGGTTTCAGGTGGGATGCAGCTGGGAGGTGGCATTGGTGGCATTTTGTGTGTGATAGTACCTGGCTACATCCCATAATAGAATTCAACATGGCAGGGGTAAGATTATTTATTTTATAATGCGGTAAACTCCCTAGGAAAAAGCAAACTGCTTCAGCCTTTTCTAGCTTATGTGTTCTTCCTCATTACTAACTTTTGTCATCCTGGCCACATTTTAATGTTGTTTAGCCACTATTGTCATTACTTTTCTCTGTGAAATGTTGGAGGGTATATCACACTACACAGATATAGTGTGATGATTCTACTTTACAGCCATGGCAATATCCTAAGAAATCCTGAGATTGCAGTGTGATGAGGCACCTGAGTGCTCTGGCTGTAAATTCTAAATATCCCTCCTTAAATTGCATATTCTAGGATTCCATAGGATGCTGCCATGGCAGTTAAGGTGGAACCATAGTGCTATAATCATGTATTGTGAAAGGGAGTCAAATGTTGATAAACTACAACTGTCTGTATTCCTCACAACTCTGTATACTGCCAGGGCTACTAGGAGTTGCAGTTCAGCATCAATTAGAGTCAATTGTTGTCATGAGGCTGGGAACAAATGTTTTGGACCAATGGATGAATGCAGCTGCTTAAACTTTAGAAGCAAAAAGGATAAAAGTGCCATTTTACCTTATCGAGACTGATGAATTCAATTTGAAATCTGAGGATAATTATCCATATTAATCCCAGGATAAGGGTTCGGTCACCATCTACAATGTTCTCAGGGCCAATGAACTTCACATGTACCTGCTGAACAGATTAAAAATGTCTTTCAGAGATTTATCTCCTTATTAGTTTATTTATAGGAATCACTGAAGTTAACAAATAAACCAGTGTGTGTACTTCAAGAATATGCACTGAAGCAATGTGTGAGCATATAAATTCTAGTGTGGTTAAACCAAAATCCCTCCTTCAACTTTGCCATCATTTTTACATATTGTAGTTTGGGGTTAGAGATCCAGTGTAGTTTAGTAGTTTGAGTGTTGGACTGCAGCAATTTGGAATTTGAATTGCAGCAATTTGGAAGGCACAAAAGGGATGGATGATAGAATGATTATGTCATGAGTTATAGTGGCATCCTGGTTTCCAGGGAGAGTTCAGGCTTCATCTGTTCAAGGAACCATTTGCTTGTCTTTTTGGCCATCCACAGTTTTTCTGAACACTCTTCTCCAGCACCACATCTCAAATGAGTTGATGTTCTTTCTGTCCGCTTTCTTCTTTGTCCAGGTTTCACATCCATACATAGTGATGGAGAATACAATTACTTGAACAATCCTCACATTAGTGTTCCAAGTTATAACTTTGTTTTAGGATCTTGTCCAATTTTTTTCATAGCTGCTCATCCCAATCCTACCCTTTTTCTAATTTCTTGATTCCAGTCTCCATTCTGATCAATGTTTGATCGAAAGTATGAGAATTCTTTGACTATTTAAATTTTCTTGTTATCTAGGGCCTCATTCCCACTATGATTTAAAACGAATTGCTAATTGGGTTATATGTCTGTCATTCCCAGTTGAAACCAGTTCCGAACTGACTGCACTCAGTTTCAGTCATGATGAAGTGAGGCAAATGCAAAACCACTCTTTCCTGACACTAGTTTTTTGGCAGTTCTTTTGAAAATAAGTGATTAGCAAGCATGTTCAGCAAATGGGAATGACGGATCTGAATCGCATCAAACTGAAAGGGAGGGATTACTGTGGCAGAGGTTTGGCACATCCCTCAGTAGTTTGGAGAAATCTGCCATTTCTCCCCCTCTCCTTTCCAGGACCTGTTTGACATTCCAATCTTATGTCTAGGAGGAATTCCAAAACACCCTCCATTCT